AATGCCACTAATCTGATTCGGCTGCTGCGTTGCTTCCAACTATCTTCGGGGCTGAAGGTAAATATGCAGAAGAGTAATATCATGGGTGTGGGGGCTGATTACGAGGAAGTGGTATCTATCGCTAGTAGACTTCATTGCAGACCTGGGCTTTTGCCTTTTACGTACCTTGGTCTGCCGATTGGTGGACGCTCCAACAAAGCTGAATCTTGGGCACCTTTAATTGAAAAATTTAACAAAAAATTATCAGCTTGGAAATCCAAAATTCTCTCTTATGGTGGCCGGCTTGTCTTGATCAAATCCGTCTTAGGAAGTCTGGGTTTGCATTATCTCTCGCTTCTTAAGGCTCCTACCTCGATCATCAACAAACTAGAATCTATTCGCTCGAGGTTCTTTTGGGGCGATAAAGGAGGAGTGAGAAAGATTTCTTGGATCAGTTGGAGTACTACGTTGGCGGATAAAGATGYTGGCGGTYTGGGGATCGGTAGTCTTAGAGCCCTCAATCTGGCGCTTCTCGCTCGGTGGTGGTGGCGATTCAAATTGGAGCAYAATCACATTTGGAGACGGGTTATCATTGCTCTCCATGGTGATGATGGCGGCATGAACAACTTGGTCAGAAATGGYAGATTTCCGGGACTCTGGAGGAACATTTTAAAAATCCACAAGGAATACAATAGCCTCAATCTTCCTTTTGCGGACTGGTTTCAAAGAGATCAAAGCTCTAACGGGATCAATATCTCTTGGCGATGGGCTCTGACTTCTCACGGTAACTTCTCGGTCTCTTCGATGAGAGCTGCGTATGATGCTAATTCGCTTCTCCAGGTTAGTTTCAGAAATTCTTGGTGGGTCACTTGGGTTCCCTCTAAAATTAATATTCTAGCTTGGCGTCTTCTTCACAAAAGGCTTCCGACTAAAATTAATCTTGCTAAAAGAGGAGTGGTTTGTCTCTCCTCCCTTTGCCCTCTGTGCGATTGTGTGGAAGAAGACGAGGAACATCTTTTCATAGGACGCTCGATATCTCGGCAATTGCTTAAGGATTTGTGCAAATGGTGGAAAGTGGACATTGGACAGGTGAATTCTATTGATAATCTTCTTGACCGTAGCGCGGAGGTGGCTGGGAATTTTTCGTGTAAGAAGGCGTTTATTGGAGTGGTGTATGGATTCTTCTGGATTATTTGGAACTTGCGCAACCGCAAAACTTTCTATGTTCCTTCTCAGACGACGGCTACTTTTCTTGCGGGCCAGCTTCAGGCGTATTCTTTTTTCTGGTTTAAAAACAGGGTGCCGAAAGTTGTTATGGCGACTAGTTGGATAGAGTGGTGTAATTCTCTCATGTCTTGTTTTTAACCTGTACTCTCTTTTGCTAGCGTCTTGCTAGTTTCTATGCTATCTCGTCTTTGTTGCCGGTCAAAAAAAAAAAGAATTTTTTTCTAAAGAATTCGTCGTGATATATCTGATCGCTAATGCAATTATGTTTAATAAAATAACCATGTTTGAATCAAATGAGGATCTAGGCATGGCAACGGGGCGGGGATGGGGCGAATTTTGTAATCCCCGGCCTTGGCGGGTACGGATATTATCATCTCGTCCTCGGTCAAATCTCTAGCAATCTCCAGTCAAAACCCGGTGTCAAAGCTCATAAATAGTATCATTTAGTTTGATTATGGGATCCGCTTTAGCAGGGAATCCCCATCCCCATTCGGGTCGGGTCAAATCACCATCTCTATGAGGATCCCGTTCTCGGTCTTGTGAGGTATCCCTGTCTTTGATCAGGCCTAGACGGGTACACCGGAGTTTTCGACACAACGGGTTTCATTCTCATGCATAACCCTAATGCCTTTATGATTAGAGTTATAACATAAACATTCACTGTTCTTTTGCTATTTATTTCATCCCAATTTCCAAACAAATATTTGTCTTATCTAAAAAAAACCTTCTGAAACTAATAGTTAGAAAAAATCATCGCATACATCCAAATTAGAGATGCATTGCTTGTCAACCCATTTCTAGCACTCGAACCTCATGACCTTCTCAAGTCCCAATACCCAGTATTTAGTTAAAGATTGTCTCTTACATGGATTCGAAACGCTTGTTGTATAACTTTTGAAGGTACTGTTTGGGAAAAATAAGCTAGCTTATGTTTAAGGTACATGTTTGGATGTATATAAGTTAGATGGTCCGCTAAGATCTTGGTTGGTCTATTAAGATTTAAGGCATTAATCCATTTATGTTAAGATCGTTCGGCCGTTTCAGATTTTTAGTCTCCAAATGAACAACAAACAGAACAAGGCCGGTTTTGAAATAGATTTTCAGTCTCGCACCCGTTGTCCTGTCTCATGAGCTCTCCTGACATATATTTTGAAATCGAGATTTTGCCTTTCATATCTTGGTTCTCCTTCTCCATCTTGATTCTTGGCTTTAGGTAAAACCCTAAAACACTTCTTACTTTTGATTTATGATTTTGTTAGCTTATTTTGGATAAATCTGGTAAATTGATATGTATCAGTTATCATTGATAAGTTACTCATAACTTTTTTTTTTGTAAGGGTGTCCGGGCCAAAGCCCGACTAATCCCCGGCAAATTTGGAGGCTAAACATGGCCTCACTTAAATGTCGCCAACACTCCCCTCCCAGAGCTCGAACTTGGGTTCATGACTATGTCATGCCCAAGCCTTTACCACTAGGCTGAAAGGTCTTTGATATATTGATTTTTATTTTGCTATTGTTATTGCTAGAAAAAAAATGGAAATATTCTTTAAAAGAAAAGCATCAACACCTGAATCTAGCTCTGCTCGTCCGATACCTGGTGATATTGATTTGAATGATCTTCCTTTAGGATCCGGTCGATACGAAAAAAAAAATTCAGAGTATCCTCCTAATCGAAGAGATGAAATAAGGAGAAAATATTTGATTAGAGGACTTTACTAACCACATGACCATAACTTCCTAAGAAAAATTATCGTAGGTAAGGGATGGCGTTTTTGTCCGGCTTGGTTTGATCAATACGCTAATTGGTTGGAGTATAGTGTAAAAACATATAAAGCTTTTTGCTTGTTATTTTTTTTATAGATCATCACAAAAAATGTGGGAGTGATATTTTTGTGACGGAGAGCTTTAATAGTTGGAATAAAACAGAGAGATTTAGTCTTCATATCGAGGACGTTAATAGTTTTCACAATATAGCACTTAAGAAAAGTGAGGATATAATGAGACACGATGTCTTTCATAAGTGATCGGTTGTTTAATTCTAATTTATTTTCTCGTCAATCACCTATTATTAATGTGCTAAAATGGTAAAACCGAACTACATTAATGTTTTTGGCAGGTTCGAAAAATTTGGGCCGAAAAAGGGACAAAAAGAGGATTTTTGACAACTTTGCAAAACTATGGTACTTCAAGCATAATTCACTCGGCCGAGATCGAATTTAAGTGATTCAACATGATCTGGAAAGGTAGAAAACGTGCCTACAACTTTTAAGTTCTGAGTTTCTGCAGATTCGGGCTTAACCGTAGTTAAAACTGACTTCGAAGGTGAAAAAGTGTTGTTGGAGAGTAAAGAAAAAAGGGTACAAATCATGATAGCAGGGAATAAACCAGCTACTGGACATGGGCTTAGGTTAGGGCCTGATAAAAAAAACTCCACGTTTGCATATGTTTTAGCCCATGAGTTGGAATCCATGGGATGGTAGTATACGGGTGCTAAAATCGGTTCTCGGCCGGGCCCAATCGGTCCTAAGCTTTCTCATAACCGACCAATGATAGGATCGGTCAAGATACTTTATAACCGGTTATGGACCACCGGTTCCGGTCCCGGCATTAAAAATAAGATTTTTTGGATTTTTTTTTTAAAAATTAATGATATATTTTTTTAATACATTATAAATTTATAATTGGATTACTCAAATATACTTTACAAATGCGTTTTAATATAATTAAAATTACATTGTCTTATAAAATTATTTATAAAATTATTTGAATTTTTGGGCCGGGCCGGTCCATAGCCGATGAATTTTCGACTATTATTTCATTGATGGATCATCTACCGCCATAAAATCCTATTGTGTTTCTTCAAGCATCAATCGTCATTTTCCCTTTATTCTTACACAAATATCTATCATGACCATTACTACAACCACGTTATATGACGTAATTAGAACTTTTCCCATTGAGGGTTAACATTTTCTCTTGGACTATCCCATTTGATCTAATTTAGACGACCAATCTGATGTTTTAGACCACCGTCCATACGTCATCGTCACTACAGGGGTAATTAAATGGTTTCTTTACACGTCTCTCTTTGATTCTCTACAACATATAATATGAAAAGCAAATTGATTATATGTTCAGTCATCGGTTATTCGCTCCAACAACAAAATTTACGTCAAAGCATGACTTATTCACCAAATTAACTTCAAACTCATCGTTATTGTTCACCACAAGCAGTTCATGTTGGCTAAGGGATTTAACATTCATGAAACTTTATTTGTTAGTTATTTCGAATAAATCACATTTCATGATTTTAGACAATCTGGTATTGTGTATGAACTAAATGAGTTTCAGAAAAGTAGTAATTAGGAATGTTCCAACCTCCTTGGTTTTGTTGTTAACGCTTTCAACGTAATTGTTTTTCATGATGTATTATGTACGTTGTTGTTGTGAAATGCATATTTTTGAAAACAAAATGAGGCTTAGACCATATGGTCTAGTAAGGAAATACCCCGTCAATTCCACAATCTAGCATAAACCAATTAATTAAAAACATTTAAATACGTTAGTCATAAAGTATGCCCGCAAACACTACACCTCTCCCAAGAAACTAGTCACAACTATCGTCATTCAAAAACAACTCACATCCCGATAAGATCGAAATCAATATTGAAAGTGACCCACCAAATGAAATGCATTCGTGGCAATATATATATATATATATATATATATATATAATTCTCCCCTACACGGACCATCACAATCCAACGCACACGGACTTTTTTTTGTGTGTAAGTTCCTTTAGCCTAATAATCAATCATTACCACGTGTGTTAATTTCCAACAACATGCACTCAGAAACTGTATCAAAGTTAACGGTAATAATCCAAACATATCAATCTGATATAATATTGAAATACTAATCATTTGAAAACTTACCTTGATCACAACGGTACTCTAAATTCTTATCTGATAACATATCTTGATACCAAACACTTGAAACTAAATAAATGAAGCATGGGTCACAATCTAAATAAATAGACTCCACCGCAACTCTTAACAATCTCTAAGGCACGTAAACAAACCCCGAAACAACAATTGGAAAACACCTCCACGGTAAGGAGTTGTTTGTTTACTTCTTAATATTTCCATTAAGAGGCAATATCTGAATCGTTAAGAGATAAATCTTGTTTGGCAAAAAAAAAATTCTCTTAATTGTTCTAAAACACTCCGAATGATTTTGTATCTTGGATCTCCCTTAACCATTAAGAGCCCTAAATTCATTGTACACAATTACCAAACAACTTCATTTTGTATTATATCATGAGAGCCTCTTAATCATTCTACATCAAATCATTCAATAAAAACCATTCAACAATTGTCAAACAATCTCTTGGGCGATTAGTGTGTGCTCAATATTCCATAGTTAAATATATTACAAAACAAATAGTGAAATAATAGTTGGTATAGGGATATGGTTGGCTGAGTCGTATTTGTGAAGACCCTATGCTTCTTTGTAGCCAGGCCCTAAGAAAACAAAGCAATTTATTATGGCAATTGAGTCAGCACGTGGATGGACCCTTTTATTTTATTAGTCAACCCATGTGTCCCCATTATATCAAATGAATATAGGTAGTTAACGGGAATCGATTCTTGTTTACCTTTATCTTTCTTTCAATAAATTACGTAGGTCAGATATTCATGACATCTTTTCTCTATACATTTTCAAGTTTTCAGTACTGATAACAGACTGATATGATGATTTTGCCGATCACCATAAATAACAATCAACCCTCTCTCTGACAAATTGATATTGATCATTTTTTTATTATACAAAATACTGACATGATTCTCTGCTAACTAATTCATTCCCACCACAACATTAAATTCTTTCATTGGCATTGAAAACAGACGAATCAACATCCCACACCTCTCAATTTCAATTATATAATTTTCAAACATATAGGCAACAAATACTTGACTATTAGCGGTATCAACCGCTAATATGTTGTCAAGAAGCACATAATTCATATATGCACATCCAACAAATGATAGTGATACGAAAGAAAAGTTTGTACCATAATCAAATAATACTTTAGCATGTACAAAGTTAACAAGAAAAGTACATGTTACTACGTCTGGTGTTGTTTCAGTCTCACTTTTCGTCATCTGAAATGATCTACCCCGCGCCCCTCCCAGTCTCCCCTCGGTATGTTCGGTCTTCCACAAGTTCTCAGGATATTTCCTCCCATAGTCAATTGTGAAGTTCTTAATTGCGGACAATTTGGTCGGATGTGGTCGGGTGAATTGCAACAAAAACATCTTTTGGATGTTGGACAATTTCTCGGGAAATGACTCGACTCGCCTCTGGCCTTAACATTCAAAAAACATCAAATTTGATTGGCCCATTAACATAAAAAAGAAAATAAAAATTCAACTTCAACCATACTCTAAAAAAATGTCGTTCAACTAAAATGGATATACCGTTTGATTGGAGTGGTTTGACCGGCAAAAAAGTAAATATGTCAGGATGGTTGAAGGTGCTCTTAGATTATTTTCAATCTAACATTAAAAATTCTAAAAAAAAATTAATAAATGTGTTTTCATCTCCAACTCGATAAAAAAAATAGAGGTCAAGAATGTTGGTCTTTATATTTAAAGGTTAATAAAGTAAATATATATAAATATAATATTAAGTTTTTATAACTTTATATATCTATATTGATTAAAAGTTTAATATATATTAAGATGTTTATTATTATTATATAAATATAATAATATTAAAGATGATTTTAATGTTTTTTTAGTGTGCAGTTGGAGTTGATCTTTTTAATGGCTCTTAATAATACTTCCATTTTGTTTCGTTGTGTGTTACCACTTGAAAATTCTTCTGAATCGGCTTCTGAACATGTCAATACTTTGTAACGTTTACACCATTAATTTTCATTTAAACTTGCGGAAGTGTTTTCGCGACATTACCAACTCGGAAAGATTGTGTCGGGTGAGTCTATGTGTGTATACACACACATTAATGTTTAAATTAGAATCATAAAAAGGGTGAGAACGAGAGAATAGATCTCAGCTGTCGGATGAACTTACGACACAGAAAAAAAATGAGAGAATTATAACAAGAAATGGAAAACGATATAGATTTGGATTCATGCGAGACGAAAAACCTCCATTATTTTACACATATTAAGTACACACTTCTTTCTATAGAAGCCATGTCAATTATTACATGTATAAGCAACACGTACTGCAAGATTGCATGGTGAATCATCTTTTTCACACGTGACGGAAAAGATGGTTCATCCCCGATGGCTGCATCAATTCTGAGTTTGCTTGTATGCAGTTGCCTCTGCGAACGAGCTGCAACACTTGCACCCTCCATGGTAACGTCCACCACAACAACCATGCCTGCAACCACTGTATCCTCCTCCACCTCCTCCACGTCCACCACCACCACCGTTGTATCCTCCACGTCCACCACCACCACCACCGTTGTGTCCTCCCCGTCCACCACCACCGTTGTATCCTCCACCACCACCACCTCTGTTGTATCCTCCACCACCACCACCTCTGTTGTATCCTCCACCACCACCACCTCTGTTGTATCCACCACGTCCATCAATCTCACCTGCATCCATCACTTGGTGTTATATATCATGTGGTGTTATATATATATATATATATATATATATATATATATAGTCATAAATGGTTGATGAAAACAGAAGAGAAATCAAGTTTGCTTACTGTCAGGGTTGGAGGCCAAGTCTTTAGCAGCCACTTCTGAGGTAACGAGAAGAACAAGAGCAAAAGCTAGGGCAAGAAGAAGAAACGTCTTGGAAACCATTTTGAGCTGTTTGCAGAGATAGAAGTGTATGGAAGAGGGATGAGGAAACTAGTGTGTTAGGGGTTTCTATTTATAGAAGGATTTCATGCATGAGAATGAAAAGTTATGGTATAGACGATGGTCCCTGTGTGTGTTGGCATTGGTTGGCTGGTGAGGATATGGGGGCCAATTAAGCTTTCATTTTCTTTGACATCTGCAACCCATTCTTATCCTTTCCTCTAATATATCGCATAATAATTAATAATTAGCATACAAATATAACATTTTAATCATATTTTTTTAACCAATTTTTATTTGCATCGATCCAAAGACTTGTATGGATTCATGGGAAAATGAACCATCGAAATATAACATAACGACTACAGAAAGGGATAACACATTTGGCATTTATATTTAGGATTCAATAAAGTAGGTCTCTATAAATAAATAAATATATATATATATATATATAGATATATATGTATACTATACTATAAAGTATTTAAAAAAAAACTCTTAAAAACTATTTTTTATGCATAAAGTACTGTTTATTGATGCATATTACTTAAAATTCAAGATTACAATTAGATTGTGCTTAAGTACAACATATTAAAACTCTATATTTAAATTCTTGTAACTAACTGTGGATAAATATAATCAAATAAATGATAAACATCTCATTTTAAATAAAAAAAATCTAAAATATAATTAAAATAATCATTAAATTCTAACAAAATACTTAATTATTATCTTTATAAAAATTATATTATTAAACCTAATTAAGTTACTTCGTTACGTTAAATTAAATTATAATAAAAATTTTGAATTAAAAAAATAAACAAACAAGAACTTTTAAATAGTTAATTTGATACTAATATTGATATATTTTTTGCAAATTTTATATAATATTTTCAAATTTATATTTTATTCGAAAATAGAAACATTATCGCGTTTTCAAAACTACATAAAATCGTATTATATGGACATGGATAAAAAGTAAAACGAAATATTGAAATGAAAATGTGTCTCGATGTACTGCACGAGTACCCTTCTAGTATATATATATATATATATATATATATATATATATATATAGGGTTGGGTTCACGTGAGACCAGTCTGTTTTCGTGAGACCCGTGAGACCGTCTTTTTACACTTGAAATTTCACAGCGAAAACATTGTGAAGATAAAAATAATCTGAACTTTCATAGCGAAAACACTGTGAAGGTTACTTTCACAGCATTTTACTGTGAAGTTTCAAGTGTAAAAAAGTGGTCTCACGGATCTCACGAAAACAGGTTGGTCTCACATGATCCCAAGTTTATATATATATATATATATATATATATATATATAATATTAAGTTTTTATAATATTGATTAAAAGTTTAATATATTAAGATGTTTATTATTTTTATTATAATATTAAATATTGTTTTTAATATTTTTTAATGTATGGTTGAAATTGATTTTTTTAGTGTTGAATAAACTCATTATATTTAATGTTTTTAATATTATTTTTTTAATGATATAAAGACGTGGTAATCGATATACAAATTAGTGTTAGGTTAAAGTTAAAGTAATGGGATTTGGTATATAGATAGACTTAAGTCAAGCTACTCCTCTTTTTGCTGCATCCTATTATTTTTTAAAAGTAGAATATTGTTTTTTTCTTTCGGTTGTTAAAATAATTAAATTTATATTTGGATTTTTTTGGAAATTAATTAATATTTAGTTTTATTAAAAGTCTTAATTCAAAACTTCTTATTTGTATACCAGAAGGGTATTCGTGCAATGCAACGAGATACATCTCGATTTTAATATTTTTTTTATTCTTTGTCTCTGTCAATGTTATAACACGATTTTATATGGTTTTGAGAAAATGATAATGTTCTTATGTTTGAATAAAATATAAATTTGAAGATCTCATACAAATTTGAAAAAAATATCGATATTAGAATCAAATTAAACAAAATTGAGCTCATTGAAAAACTCCCACACAAATGCATTAAATGATGGATCAAGTAACGTTAACAAAAACAAAACAAAATACCCCTAAAAATTGAATCTTGTAAAGCAAAAACAAAATATTGAAGAATAAATAAATCAAATATTAAACAAGAACAAAAAATTGAAGTGTAAATAAACGAACCTTTGAAGATTTTGAATCCGTTTATATATAAAGAACAAAAACAAAAAACAATAGATTGAACAATATTGCTTTGTATATATATGTATATATATTACCATCTCTAAATTTGTTGAAATCAAAAGATATCAGGATATGAATGAAGGTTAGTGACTCATAAGGATATTGATAAATGTTAGCTTCTAATGGAAGATTAAGGTTATCTAAATCTCGCTTAGGTGTTTCAATAAGTTGTACTCAAACATTGAGAAATTGTAAATTTGAAAATTAAGTAATTAGCATTATATAGGCGTACATAATGCTTAAAAAATTGTTTTTAAGAATTTTTGACCAAATACTTTATAATATAGTATAGATATAATTTCACCTTCTATTCTAAAAATAGAATATGTTTATTAATAATATATAAATCTTAAAATACCATTTAATAATAATTTTTTTAAAATATATAATATTTATATACGACAAATACAACAAATAAACTTATATACTTTCCTCATCTTTAATAAGATTTAAACCACTAAGTCAAAGGTCTCTTTATACCTTGCTATAATAAATTAAGGTTAGCAAAATATCTAGAAAATTTATAAAATAAATTAAAAAATGGGGTATTTGAAGAATAATTAAAGGAGTGTGAATAGTATTTATTAGATTGAATAAAGGTCAAAAAGGTAGTAATTAATTGATGTCGCAACTCGTGACAAAGTACTTTGACTTATTCACCCCTGACTCTGAGGTTGCAAATATGGATTTGGTCACTCATTCTGCGTTACAATAAGCATCCACATGGATGTTATTTGTCCACCGTCATTAAATGTATCTTTACTAATAATATATACTCGCATGCATGTCCCTCAAGTTGGCTATGGGTATACATTTTGCTCTCATGCATGCAACACATACATACATATCTACATACATACATATATATATATATATATATATACATGATGATAAAGAGATAACATAAACTAGTTCTTTTTTAATTTCTAAAAACTATAATATATAATAGAGAAAACAATGCAAGAGAAACCGAGAAAGAAAGGGAGGATTGATTCAGATTTGTAAACACAATTACGACTGCCGACTTTGCAATGAAACAATAGTGAAGTGAAGTCGCTTTCAAATTTATAATGGAGTGAGTGATACGATTCTTAATTAATTTAATTGGATGAAGTTCAATTTCATATCATATTAATTAATTAATCAGTAAAAGTTGGTCTTGATTTCAACTTTTAGATTCTATAAATCTTTCTTGTTTCTTTATAAATTAATAAACTAAAAAGGCTGAATTTGATAAGCAATTCATAAAATTAATTACATTCCACTTATTTTGCTTTACTTGTAATTGTTTACGTATCTCATCAATCATAAAAACTCACAAACTAATTTAATTTTTATGTATTATTTCATGTATAAATGATGCATATAAATATTGTTGTATTTTCAAAATATATACAATAACGCGTTAAAATGATCATTTTCGTTTGAACAATAAATTAAATATTGTTAAAATAATCATACAATTTGAATTCATAATACCTTAATTACTAGAAAATGGACTTTCATAACAAATATTACCGATGGCTAGAATTTATCCATGATTTACGACGGGTTACCAACAACGTACAAACAATTTGAAGCTTCACGTGGTTTTGCCGATAATAATCAAAACCGTTGGTTATTGCATTACAAAAAATTCTTGTTTATAAGACACCAAAAGTGTTTAAGGTGTCATTTTTGAAAAAATCCTCTTATTTACTAATTATGTCTTAGGGGATAAGAAGTTAGATTAATCAGATTGGAGTGATTTTCATTTGACCGCTCCTATATATATATATATATATATATATATATATATAGTGTTGGATTTACGTGAGACCAATTGTTTTTCGTGAGACCCGTGAGACCAATTTATGTTCATTGATCAACCTTATAAGCTAATGATCTGATGGTTTAAATTGCACGGTGGCAATTTTGTAATTATTGAGAAGTCTCATGGCATTTTTGTGATTATGAATGTTGAGATTGTAGATCTAATCTAAGGGTTGAGAATTGGTCTTACGGGTCTCACCAAAAAGCCTTGGTCTCATATGATCCCAAGTCTATAGATATATATATATATATATCTATCTAACTATCTATATATATATATATATACATTATATATTTTGGGTTTAGGCTGTCCAAATTGCACTATATAATATGTTCTGAATTAATATGTTCTTGGGTTTTTTTGAAATATATATATGCATGTATTAATTCAACCTTAATCTGAGTTTCTGGACAAGAAAAAGGGTAAACAGTTGAAATTTCATTCTAAAACTCATCTTTTTTGGTCTTTTCATGCCTTATGATATGTTAAATTTGTAGTTTTTTTTATTGGTTTTGAGTGTTTATCTTAAAACYYAAGTTTTTTGGTTCTTTGCTCTTGGTGTAAATCGAACACATTTGTGGAGTCGTTTAGATATATTGGATTTTAAACTGTCATACAATTTTTTTCATCGATAGTCTGTAATTGGAACCATAACTCTTATTTATTCAAATTGTATTAATATGTAAAGACCAAGTGTAACTTATATCATCGTTAAATCTTATCTTATAAAACCAGTGGAACTTCAAAATCATTAAATTTATGGCTCCCGCTGCATTACGCGGGTACACAATTAGTATATATATATATATATATATATATATATATATATATTTATTACAACAATTTTATATATGATTCATAAGCATTTGATTTTATAAACTTAAGCAGACATTCAGACATTTTAATGTCCTATAAACCCGATTTTATTGTAGTATAGTAAAGTATTAATTTATCAAATGATTACCAATCACTTTTAAAGAATTTCATTTAAAAGAATCGGAAAACAAAATTTAGATAACCCTCCCAATCCCT